AATGTTTATAAATGTGTGTGATTAAAAGTTCATATCGGTGCGGTAAATAATGTTGAATAATGAAGGAACGTGAATTGATATAAGCTAGTGATAAGTGATTGTCAGAAGGTGTGACTGACTTTCTCTGTTAAAACTTGAAATTGAGTAAGGTGAAGATCGGCACCCGAAGGTGGTTGAAGCGTAAGTGTTGTACTTTATGAAGACCGACCACGACATGTTTAGTGGTTGCATTGCATCCGAAACAAAGGTCTGAGATTTGGGTGAGGTACATACAAACAATATCATCATATTATCATGCATCTACCAGTACTGCAGCAACACACACGTTTTGTATCAATATCATGCATGCTATTAGATGCAATTGGAATAATCCAGAAGTATAAAAGTTTCACCTGATCAGATTCGGCTAGATCGCAAAACAAACAAACAAACAAAATGGTTCGATTGATTGATGAATGACATCAAGTCAAACAAAAGCTTATAAACCTTGCTTAATTTAAAGGAACATATGTATTAATACCTAATTTGTTTTGAAATTAACCAAATCTATTTGAAATACAGTAAAACCGTTAAGTCTTTTGGGACCTTAGATTACAATTATAGTCAATCGTTAACTTATACGTCAAATTTATTAAGCGACTAGCAGTGGGGTACACGTGTCCATCATGTAGGGATGAGCATTGGGTTGTTGAACCCGCCAATCCACCCAAAGTCACCCACAATCGACCCACCCATTATGTTATGGGTGGTTCATATGGATGAGGATGAGAGTAGGTTCTAAAAAAGGTGCCCCACTAAGATTTGGGTGGATGTGGGTGGACTAAAGTTTGAAATGTATGGTATAAACCCACATTACATGTTGGGTGGGTGTGGGTCATTTTTTCCTTCAACCACCATCTAATGGGTGGGTAAAAAACCAAACCAAATCCGCATCAAACTACCCACTGCCACCCCTACCACCATATAAGCAAAGCCAATTATTTATAAATTTTAAGAGCATGTTTTCTATATAAATTTTAGTTACTATAATTAATAGTAAATAATATTATTCCTAATGACCAAGCCATCGATGGGACTCAATCAGAATCACGCAGCTTGGGCAAAGGCTTTGTTGTTGGTGATGGCTTCATAGTAAAACCGCGGTGGTTTTTTTGTGAAAGGGAAGGAACCAAACTAGCAACCTCAACACAAGGGGAATAGGCTGGTTTTGGGTAGAAGAACACCACAAGATCGATGATGGTGAAATAGATCTCTAGGTCTACAAGTCTAGGACGAAAATCCAAGACCAAACTCAAGCACTCAAGCTCAAGGAAAACTCCGCAGAGTAAAGTTTTTTTTGTTCAACTAAAACGTCAATTACAACTCAAAGTAAAGGCTATTTATAGCCAAGTAAACTTAATTACAATCCTAGAAGAACAAGGAAATGAATTAAAGCTGAACAAGGAAAGGAATCCGTATAAAACAAGGAAACTTGTAAACCAAGCAACAACCTTCTCTTCCAAGCAAGCTGTCCAGGACACAGCTCTTCGGACCATCTTCAAGCTCCTAGAAACTGGCCTTTAGAGTTGAGTCGAGGTCAGCCAATTCCTTCCCTGGGTTTAGAAAGTTGCACACTTTCATACCCAACTCGAATCACTAGTTGGTTGCACCCCAAACTCTGCGAATGATACGCCAAAGTTGGCTTCCGAAACTCAGTTTCTGCCTTAGCCAAATTCAGGCAGTTTTCAAGTTGCAAACTGGGTTTTTGATTGGCTTGAAAATCGACCTCCTTGGATTCTCTTGACGATCCAAACACTCCACCTTATAATAGATTATTCCAACTTCAAAACAAGCCCCCAACATTGAATTTTCACTGAACCATTTGAGAGAATCAACCCTCCAAGGTAGGGTTCCCAAAACGGCTCCAACACTTAACCAATTTCCAACTTTATTCTTGTCATCTTGGTTTGATCCTTGAGTGATCAATTGGAACTCGTAGAAGGGTCGAATTGAGTTCATATCACCTACAATTAAGTAAAATGTTTTTTCTCGAAAAATGAAGCACTTAAAGGGTGCTCCAACCTTTATTCCTTAAGTAATACGATGAGTTGATGCCCTTATATGGTCAAAATACAACTAGTAGTCCAAAGCAGAAAACAAAGACGTGAATACACTGTTATCCAGTAGATAGAGAATGACAAAGAGGCAAAAAATCTGGTCACAAAGGGCCTTTCCTGTATACATGTGTGAGGCAAACCTGCCACTGTAACGCCCGGGGGCTATATATCTAAGGAACCAAAACAAAGTGTGTATGAGTGGGCAATGTCGACTGATCGAATAAGACTTACAGTCGCCCGCAAGCCAAATAATAGAAGAAACTTCATAATCCCTTATTCTCAGATTAGGGCTGCAAACGAGTCGAGTCGAGTTTTTGCTTAGCTTGAGTTCGGCTCGTTTATAAATTTTTTAGCTCGAGCTCGCTCGAACTCGAATTTTGATTATCCAGCTCAAGCTCGACTCGATTAAAAATAATCCAGCTCGAGCTTGGCTCGATAGAGCTTGGTAAATGCTCATTAACACATCTTGTCAAGCTGAGTACAAGCTCGACTCAAGATAAGCTCGATTTGAAACCATTCTTACTGAAAAATGTGTACAAATAAGAACATTAGAAATTGAAAATAATAAAAATAACACTAGAAACTAAAAATAACATCTAACTTCCATACACATCCTTATTAAAAAGATAATTTTCATGTGCAGAAGAGTAATTAATCCTCCGAGTCAAGCTAGCTCACGAGTTTATCAAGCCGAGCATGGCCTAGCTCAAGCTTGGCTTGTTTACTAACGAGATGGCTCGCGAGCTGGCTTGTCAAACAACGAGTCGAGTGTCGAACGAGTTTTTCCGATTCGAATGCCGAGTTGCTCGCAAGCAGATTGGCTCATTTGCAGCCCTATCTCAGACAATCCTCAGACCATGCACATTTCCAACCAACTCTACACGGGTTATGTTACCTACCTCCTAAAAAAAAAAGATTAACAGAGTAAGCTTTGATAAAGTCACAATAGTCTCCCCTATGATGTCGCTCGCCGTCGTGCTAGAAGGAGAGCGAAAGACTAACTCGTCAGCATTTAGGCATGTCCAACTGTTCTTTGGTGGTGTACAACCACTAGTTGATGTTTTCGAGCTCTCCCCTCACCAAATATGTCGCATTCCTACTTCCTACTGAAAGGCAATGATTGTTTGTTGCATGAGCTGCTTTGAGTGAAACTGGAGCTCTGCAATCATCTCAAGCTTGTCTTTGAACTTGTGATTATCGTAGTTTCTCCATGGTAGCTAACAGGTACCTGCAAATACAGGAATATCTATAATGGTATTGTGCCCCGACACACAGTGAAGGATCCACTTCGTTAAGGGGTCATTTGGATGTGGAAATGTAAAGCAGTAATTGGACTCAATTACCACATAATGCAGTAATTGGGTTAAAACCCCACGTTTGGGAGAGCAAAAAGGGTATGGGAATTGGACCATGGAAATTGGCTTCAATTACCACATTTATTGTAATTGAGAATACTACACCTCCCCCTAGTAATTTGACATTACCACATTTTCTTCCTTCTATTTCCAAATGTGTCTCTATGTCCTTCTCTTTTTTCCCCCCCGGTAATTAGAACTTTACCATGAGGCACCTCTTGGAGAAAACGCACAAGAGTTAAATACAAAAGGCAACAGCCTTTACAGCCATCTCAGAATGAGTGGAAAACAAACAAAAAAACCACTACACTAGACAAAGCCTACATCTAGCAGTTTTCAGGATTTGAGAGTGGAATTCTAAGTTGCTGCAAGCATATAGATGAATCTCCTCTCTCAACAGCTCTGCCAGCAGCATATAACTCCTCGCCTGCTCTCCAAACACCCTCCTACACCGTTCCTTCCATACAAAACAAAGACACCAGCTCCAAATGGTTGATTCAACCAAACCACAACTACCCTATGCTCTCACTCTATAGCACATAACATCAAGCAAGGCATTCCAGTCATTAGGAGTAGCAACTGGATGTTTCAGCACTGCAGCAGTAAAGTCCAGTGTGTAATGGCATTGACAGAATAAATGAACCATGCTCTCCTCTGAATCTTCACATAGAACACATGAGCTATCCTGAGTAACGCCCCAGCTTTTTTGTTTGTCTCTAGTATTAATTCTGTCCTGGATAATAAGCCAAGCAATAACTTGGTTACATGGTAGAACAAACTTGATACAACCCTGGTTTACTTCATTTCCAAGCCAAAATCCCTTGTTCAACTAGCTAATGCAACCATTGTGCACAAACTGGAATTTTGGCCAAGGCATTTGACGTGCTCGACTAGGGTACTTTGAAAGCTTGGTGAGGCCGATTGGGATGGTAAATGGGAGATTAAGGTATGGATTTGAACCTGGGAATCTTCTATACAAATTGGAGTGGCTGGAAGCTCGAGGGGAAGCTTGAAAAGGCGTTTTCCAAGCTCGGCAAAGTGCTTGCTCAACACTAGGAAACTGTCCGAAATTGTCTAACTGTCAAACCGTGTTCACCAGAGCTACTTTGAAGCTTCATTCTAGGAAGATGGTGATGATTCGAGTATGGAGCTTCATGCTACATGAATGTACGCATTTTCATCTACAACGGAGAGGCATTGGGTGATTGTTGGCGTACTTGGAAGTCGAAGTTCAAGAGCCCCAAAGTCGATAGCGAGGGCTGATTGGAGACTTGGAGAAGGCAGAATTACTTTCCTTGCTTGATTTGGATTCGTATTCCTTGTTTTTTTTTAGCTTAGCTTTTCACGTTTTAGTTATAATCAGGAAGTCTAGATGCCCTAGGACTAGTTAGCTATTTAATCCTTGACAATTGCTTTGTACGTGCTCAGTTTTAAAGTTAATAAGAACCCTAGTTCATTGAGTCTTTCAAGATCTTTGATATGCCCTTGTTCCGTGGATTCAAGTCCATCAACGAGCGAGCTCAGCATCGATTGATTCACCATATCAATCATGGACAAGTTGCACCATCGTTCGATGGAGCCTCTCCCCCGGAACTCGGTGTTGAAGTTGCACTTTCCACGTCCGTTTTACCCTATTTTTTCTTTGATCTGTTCGTTTTCAACTCACACGCTGAAGTTCTTGAGGAATTGCACCATTGGATTAGAAGCTTGTGGGTCTGGAGCTTATCAAGTGTTAATCGGAGCCCGGTTCTACTCAGCGGCGTGTCACGATGTCGTCGACGGAAGGCGGCGCCGGTACAACAAGGTGGACCAGGTCGAAGGGTCTAGTGGATTGTGACCCTGCTTTTGTTTTGCTAACAGAACCGGGGAAGAAGAAGGAGTCCGCAACCCCGACCGAGGCTCCGATTGCCGACGACCCAACCATGGAGGAGCAGGCCAACATTGCGGAGTTGCTTCACACCATTCTGGCGCAGCAAAATCATGTGATACAAGCTCAATTCGAGAACTTGAATCGGCAATTGGCCGAACTAAGGACAACGGTGAACGCCCCTGTTCATCCAAGGGATGTCGCAGGGGAAGTTTGAATGCCTCAACAGCAGCAAATTCAAGCCAATATTGAGTTTCGACCACCAGACGCAGGGCAAGGGAACAACGTTGCTGATCTAAGGGGCATCAAGCTACAAGTGCCATCATTTTTTGGCACGAACAACGCCTCTGCATATCTGGACTGGGAAAGAAAGGTGATGTTTTTTCAATGTGGAGATTATAGTGAAATTCAGAAGGTGCTATTTTCGACGTATGAATTCACCTACTACGTCGCATAATGGTGGGAGTAGACCTAGCTGCGCCGTCGGACGAATTTAGAACCTGAAATCACAACATGGACAAAGCTAAGGGGTCTGCTGCGCGAAAGGTTCGTGTCGGGATACTACCAGCGCGACCTGCACGAAGCATTGCATCAATTATGACAGGGGTCCAAGTCCGTTGATGAATATTTTCGAGAATTAGAGCTTATTATGATGCAAGCTGAAATCCGGTAAGACAAAGAAGCCACCGTTGCCAGGTTTCTTCATGGCCTGAATCGTGAAATTTTGTCAAAAGTCGAGCTACGACCCTTCGTCGAGTTGGAAGAGGTTGTACACCTAGCGATTAAGGTGGAACGACAACAACAAACCAATGCGGGACGACGATACTCAAAGCCTGTTTCAGAACCCACCCCTGTAGCTAATCCCGAGCAGACACAGATAGAAGGAAACAAATCTGTACCCCTCACTACTACCCTGGTGAATCACGAGAAACCAGGAGGCTCATCGAACAGTATTCAATGCTGTAAGTGTTTTGGCAGAGGACACAAGGCCAATCAATGTCCGAACAAGAAAGCTTTGATGCTTCGGGATGGTGAGTACGTATCTAATGATGAGGAAGAGAAGGACAGAGACGAACATGGTGAGTCTGATTCTGATGTTGACGAGTCAATAGAAGTAGAATCCATCCTTCGGGCAAGCTGCTCGGGGTCAATCGTCGAGTCCTTACTCTCGACTCTCGGCTGGCGAAGAACAGCGAGACAACTTCTTCCATGCTCGTTGTACGATTGAGGGTAAGCTACTGTCCGTCGTGATCGATGGAGGTAGCTGTAAGAATGTTGTGAGCTTAGATGCTGTCAAAAGGCTTGGGTTAAGTACGATCAGACACCCTAAACCTTATAGCCTTCATTGGCTAAATGAATATGGCACTGTCAAGGTGAACAAACATGCCAAAGTACGGTTTAAAATCGGCCATTATGAGGATGGGATTTGGTGTGACGTAGCTCCTATGCAAGCCACTCACCTACTACTAGGGCGACCATGGCAGTATGATCAAGGAGCTGTTCACGGCGGAAGAACCAATTGTTATCGATTCAGGCAAGGAGAGCACAAGTTTTTGCTTAAACCACTAACACCGGCTGAGGTTCATGCCAATCAGCAGCAAATGGCGGCAAATCGGTGCAAAAATGAGGACGTGTCTAGTAGCTCGAAGCCTCTGGGGCGTGCTGGGACAGGGCTGATGGTGGGGAGATTCATGTTTACTGCCTTAAAATGGGGCCATCTTCAACAGTTGCAACAACGTTGGCAACTCTGCTCTTTGACGGCCGAACAGGGAAGGAGAGAGAGTGAATCAGGTGGGAGCCTCGGGGCCAAGTCGGGGCAAGCGACCAACGTCGACACGTTGGTTGGGACATTGGCAATGTTTGGTAATCGTCAATTGGGATCAAAACATGGTGAATTGAAAACCCCCATTTCACCAATTTCGGTTCAAAATAAGAGGAAAGGCGAGGCCAAGAAGTGGGAGTCTGTTGGGATGATGAAGGGTGATCCGACCGAGATGAAGAACATGGGAAGGTTCGGAAGGGTCCAAGGAAGTGACTCGCTACGACACAACTCCTAACAATGGCCAAGTGTAACCAATGGAAGGGACTGCAGTATAGTGGCTCAAGTGATAAATATCGAATCCACGGGTCTCTAGAGTTACTATTACTCAGCTTCAGTTTATTATTTAGCAAACCAGATTAAGATAAAAGAACTAAAACTACTCTAGCAAACTACAGTTAAAGTTAATATAATTACAGGTTGGGAACTCACTTAGGTATGATTCCCCCTAGCCACTAGCCAGATTAACGATTGATGATCTCTAACCTGTTTCACTTTCATTCACAATGCGGAGAATCCTTGACTAGACCTTGAGTCTCGACTAAAGGAACAAGGCCCTCTTGAGTCAATTGCCTAGAGGGACGTATCCTTCTCTAGAACAACTGATCAAGGCGTTCTGAACTAGACTCCCTCTATCGAAAGGGGTTCTCAATTGATACAAAGCAGTGAATCAACCCTCGACTAAAGCAATCGATCCACTACTATCAATCTATGGTGCTCTATTGTCCTAATCAGGTATTCCCTCTCATAGAATCAAAGCAGAATCAATAATCTCGACTAAAGCAGAATTGAATCATGAAAACATGCATAGATTGAATATGAACTCAAGATTATCAAGTCAGAGTACTCATACAATCATCCAATCAAACAAACATAGCTAGGGTTCCTCAAAACCTAAGTGAAGGGAAGTTACTCCATAGAGAAGAGAGAGACTGCAGTAAGAATCTTCAGATGATCAGTCTTCAAGTCCGGGCTTGTTCCTCGAGCTTCCAAGGCGAAGAAATCCTCCTTCTCTACTCCAAGAATGCCCTCAAATCGCCCTCTCTCTCTAGGGTTCGTCCCTTGGGTGTTTGGGATCCAAAACCCAGCTCTCCTCTTCTTTGGCTCGGAATTTGGCTTAAAACCAGGAAATCCCGACTCGCACGGCCAGGGTGCACGGCCGTGCATATCACCATTCTGGCCGTGCAACTCAAAACGCAGCGTGTCATTTAGTCGAACTTCAGCCCTCTCGCACGGCCAGGGTGCACGGCCGTGCGAGCTTCAGGGGTTGCCCGTGCGTGTCCTCGGCATAAGGCGCACGGCCATATTGCTCACGTGCACGGCCGTGCAGCCTCCCTGGTCTGCCCGTGCAGCTCCCCAAAAACCTCGCCATTCGTCCGTTCTTCGTCCAATCGCCCCCAGACTCGCTCCTAAGCCTTCATTCACGTACTAGGACCTGAAACATCACAAACAAGCACAACCTAGCGTGAAATCGGTCTAAACCATGAGAAATCACATCTCAAACGATGTAAGAACAGGGGTAAAAACCTGTGTAATTAACGGTCTATCAAACGCCCCCACACTTAACCGTTTGCTTGTCCCCAAGCAAACCTAACTCAAACCAATGCAACTCTCCAGACCTCTATAGCAACAAACAACCCAGATCGTAGGTAGAGGACTTCCTAGATCATTTAGCAGCTTACGAGGTCAACCGACGCACAAGTCATCTCATAACTTCTTCGGCGAGTCGGCATCATGGCAAATAGTGAACAGAGGACAAATGAATTGTGGATGAAGAGATTCTCAAAAACAAAGGATCATGGACTCACATTTTTCAAGGTGCACTATTTTCTTCTTGAAGATGGTTGAGACCCCTTTTTTTTCCTGTTTTGCTTGTTTTCTGATATTTTTCTTTTCTTTTCTTTTTCAAGGGTCCCAACCTGCTCTTACCGGCCATGCCAGGAGCGGATGTCTCGAGCCTCGTGCGGGGGAAAGACATGTAAGGGGGCTGGAGGTAGTAGGTGGAAATTGGGAACGAATTCCCGTCTCCCCTTACACACTTTCGCCCTATTCGCACGGGAGACGTTTATTTTGAAGCACATTTTCGAGCACCTGTTATTTTCAAAACATGATACAAGAGTCCATGACCGGTAGAAAATCCACAACACCACACAATTCAAGGGTCCTAAGATCACTAATTCACTCAATCAACCAACTTTATATGAAGAAGAAATGAGACTTCTTAAATGCATCAACATCCTCCATAGTGCTACACTACCTCCCTAGGTTGCATATTACTGTAAAGACTGTCAATTCAAAGCATACTGAGCAGGCAATTGCATGGAACACGTACTTGGAGCCCTCAAATTTAAAAATTTGGACAGTGGACTAGGCTCCAAGCACACAAACAGCCAAACATTCACCCGCATACATAATCGAACATCCCCCCACACTTAAGCACGACATTGTCCTCAATGGAGGAAAGATAAGGAGGGTAGAACGAAGTTACCAGATCAAGGGTGAATGATGATGTACGGGTCAGGCGGTGCATTCCAGAAAGAGAGAGTAATCAGAACACAAACACCACACAAAATCTCACAAAGGTTGAGTTATTGACTCTAAAATCAAATAACAAAACTGACTCAACCGAGGAGAAATAGAGAAAGAGATGCAAACCGACTGGTTGGGTTGCCTCCCAACAAGCGCTTCTTTCACGTCGTGAGCCGGACGATGGCTCCTAAGTTTCGGTCCATGAGAGAACTTCCTTGAAGTTGAGGTTCTCGTCGATGAGGTGGAGTCTCAAGTCATGAGCATGTGATGTGGCAGGTGATGAAGGCTCATGTACTTGATGCAGATGAAGTCTCCACCCTCGAGACCTCTTCTTCTCTTCTCTCGTCTCATTGCCCCAAACTAGATAAGACAGCATCGATTGGCCACCATCGCGTCCACCAAGAGGGACCGATGTCGAGGTGGCCTTGGTCTGGCAAAGAGACACTGCAAATGGGTCCTTGCTAAGCAGTTCCTCGAAGTTTGGTGGAGATATCACATGTAACTCATGGCCGGTGCAGGCCTCTTCCACCTCAACTTCATCCTTAGCCTGGACGCCAATTGCTTCTTTAACCTCCCTTCCTTCTTCATGTGGTATCACCCCTGGGAAATGATCAAGAACTTCTCCAGCTTCACTTTCGCCATCCTCCACAACTTCTTTCTGCACCCTTTCTTGCTCTTCTTCTTCTAGCACGAATTGGAGAGCAAGTTGCCAAGCAATTTCTTTCATGAGATCTTCTTGCATCTCCTCACTCATGCCCGCCTCTTCAAAGCTCAGTTTGGGGTGTGGGAAGGCGTGGTCGGCTACGACAGGACATTCCTGATCATGACCATCACGGGAGCTCTCCGTGACAACTTCTGTGTGCTCCACAATGTCCTTGTAGCCTTCTTCCTCCTCCTCCTCTTCTTGTATGGTAGCAGAAGGGTGATCTGGAGCAGGCTGTGCCCAAGATCGCTCAAGATCATCGACGCTCTTCTTAAGGCTCAGGAGGATCCCCTCTGTTTCACGACAGGCCTGGACACACTGATCCATCCTGGAGCATGTTCTCTCACAGTCTCGAGCATACTGCTCCATGAGTAACTCCAGTGCCGATGGCCCTTCTGGTTGTGGGAGAAATTCTTCTTGATAATGAGGTTGTTCTTGATATGCCCAGGGGTCCGGTTGTTCTCCGTAGTAAGGGGGTTGGTACTGGAACCCGAATCCATAGTCTTCTCCGCCTTGATTGCTCCACGGAGTCTCGGGGTAATACCACCCAGATGGCGGTGGATACCCCCAATGATTGGAGAAGCCATTAGGATCCATGATTCAGATCTGCACCAACAAAAACAAAAACACCCAAGTGAAAAGCAAGGGTGGAAAAGAAAAGAAACGAAAAACGCTAAAGTAACAAACTTCTGCCTTTCCTAATACTCTAGAAAGTCCCCGGCAACGGCGCTAAAAACTTGACTCGCTACGACACAACTCCTAACAATGGCCAAGTGTAACCAATGGAAGGGACTGCAGTATAGTGGCTCAAGTGATAAATATCGAATCCACGGGTCTCTAGAGTTACTATTACTCAGCTTCAGTTTATTATTTAGCAAACCAGATTAAGATAAAAGAACTAAAACTACTCTAGCAAACTACAGTTAAAGTTAATCTAATTACAGGTTGGGAACTCACTTAGGTATGATTCCCCCTAGCCACTAGCCAGATTAACGATTGATGATCTCTAACCTGTTTCACTTTCATTCACAATGCGGAGAATCCTTGACTAGACCTTGAGTCTCGACTAAAGGAACAAGGCCCTCTTGAGTCAATTGCCTAGAGGGACGTATCCTTCTCTAGAACAACTGATCAAGGTGTTCTGAACTAGACTCCCTCTATCGAAAGGGGTTCTCAATCGATACAAAGCAGTGAATCAACCCTCGACTAAACCAATCGATCCACTACTATCAATCTATGGTGCTCTATTGACCTAATCAGGTATTCCCTCTCATATAATCAAAGCAGAATCAATAATCTCGACTAAAGCAGAATTGAATCATGAAAACATGCATAGATTGAATATGAACTCAAGATTATCAAGTCAGAGTACTCATACAATCATCCAATCAAACAAACATAGCTAGGGTTCCTCAAAACCTAAGTGAAGGGAAGTTACTCCATAGAGAAGAGAGAGACTGCAGTAAGAATCTTCAGATGATCAGTCTTCAAGTCCGGGCTTGTTCCTCGAGCTTCCAAGGCGAAGAAATCCTCCTTCTCTACTCCAAGAATGCCCTCAAATCGCCCTCTCTCTCTAGGGTTCGTCCCTTGGGTGTTTGGGATCCAAAACCCAGCTCTCCTCTTCTTTGGCTCGGAATTTGGCTTAAAACCAGGAAATCCCGACTCGCACGGCCAGGGTGCACGGTCGTGCATATCACCATTCTGGCCGTGCAACTCAAAACGCAGCGTGTCATTTAGTCGAACTTCAGCCCTCTCGCACGGCCAGGGTGCACGGCCGTGCGAGCTTCAGGGGTTGCCCGTGCGTGTCCTCGGCATAAGGCGCACGGCCATATTGCTCACGTGCACGGCCGTGCAGCCTCCCTGGTCTGCCCGTGCAGCTCCCCAAAAACCTCGCCATTCGTCCGTTCTTCGTCCAATCGCCCCCAGACTCGCTCCTAAGCCTTCATTCACGTACTAGGACCTGAAACATCACAAACAAGCACAACCTAGCGTGAAATCGGTCTAAACCACGAGAAATCACATCTCAAACGGTGTAAGAACAGGGGTAAAAACATGTGTAATTAACGGTCTATCAGGAAGCTTCTGGGATGATCAATTTTCCTTGACGGTGTCGGAAATGCCCAATCTCATCTCGGGGTTGCCGGATTCTGGGTTTAGTTCGCCGGCAACTGGGAATTTCTAACTTCCCAGTGGCATGAAGTTTGTGGCCTTCAAATTGGAGCGACTTGGGCGATTTCGAGGCACGAAAGAGGTTGGAATCGAACCCTGGAGACGAGGCAAATCTTCTGGAAGTGGTGAATTGGAACAGAATGGAGTGAGGAAAAAAGCCCCAATCTCAACAACCTCGCCGGAAATCTTAAAACCGCCAGAATCTGGAAATTTATGGTCGGGGGTTTTTAAATGCACCAAATCTCAATTTTTACCCATCCTTTGGTCCTTTTCGAGAAGCTGGTGCACCTCGGAAGACTATGACAACGTCGGTACAAGGTGGATTCGAGCTTGAAGGTATCAATTTTATGATAGGCGTGGTGGCTAAGCAACCTTCTTTCGACCCTATTTGGGAGCAGTTTTGTGATGCATTTAAGAAGCGGAAGGCACCAGCTTTGAGGATAAAGCTTCTTGAAGAGGGGGAGCCTGATACAGCCCTGGTTTACGTCATTTCCAAGCCAAAATTCCTTGTTCAACTAGCTAACACAACCATTGTGCACAAATTGGAATTTTGGCCAAGGCATTTGACGTGCTCGACTAGGGTACTTTGGAAGCTTGGTGAGGCCAATTGGAATGATAGAAATGGGAGATTAAGGTATGGATTTGAACCTGAGAATCTTCTATACAAATTGGAGTGGCTGGGAGCTCGAGGGGAAGCTTGGAAAGGCGTTTTCCAAGCTCGCCAAAGTGCTTGCTCAACACTGGAAAACTGTCTGAAATTGTTCAAGTGTCAAACCGTGTTCAACAAAGCTACTTTGAAGCTTCATTCTAGGAAGATGGTGATGATTCGAGTATGGAGCTTCTTGCTACATGAAAGAACGCATTTTCATCTACAACGGAGAGGCATTGGATGATTGTTGGCGTATTTGGAAGTCGAAGATCATGAGCCCAAAGTCGGTAGCGAGGGCTGATTGGAGACGAAGGCAGAATTACTTTCCTTGTTTGATTTGGATTCGTATTCCTTGTTTGTTTTAGCTTAGCTTTTCATGTTTGAATTGTAATCAGGAATTCTAGATGCCCTAGGACTAGTTAGCTATTTAATCCTCAATTTTTAATTAATAAGAACCCTAGTTCATTGAGTCTTTCAAGCTCTTTAATTTGTCCTTGTTGCATGGATTCAAGTCCATCAACGAGCGAGCTTAGCATCGATTGATTCACCACATCAATCATGGACGAGTTGAACCATCGTTGGATCGAGCCTCTTCCCCGAAACTCGGTGTTGAAGTTTCACTTTCCATGTTCGTTTTACCCTGTTCTTTCTTTGATCTGTTCGTTTTCAATTTACACGCTGAAGTTCTTGAGGAATTGCACGATTGGATTAGAAGCTCGTGGGTCTGGAGCTTATCAAAACTTGTTCCAAATAAGCTTCCAACATGCCACTCGACTCTATTTCTTTCTAATTGTTTCCCATATAGTTGAAATAGAAAAGTAGTCCATTTTCTCCACTAACCTCCAGTCTATACCTCAATCAAGGGCGGATCTTCAAGATTTGTTTCCAAATCCAGGACCCTGAAGAAGTGATCCTTGCCTCTCAGATGGAGACTCCCCTGAGTCTATGGATGTTAATCCAAGCAACCCAGAAGCTCCCTCCTTGAAGTAGAAGCAGCAAAATGAGTCTAGCAAGAGCAGCCACATTCCAAGACACCAGATCTTTCAATCCTAGCCCACCTTCCTTCTTTGGATATGATAGAACATCCCAAGCAACCTTTGCTCTACCTGACTTATCTCCATGCCAAATAAGATCAGAGCAAATCTTCTAAACATCCTTCAGAACCTTCTTTGGGATAAGGAATATAGCCATCCAGTAATGAATGAGTAAAGAACATATTCAATCAACTATAGCTTTCCAGCATAGGACAACTTATTTTCCCTCAAGCTTCTGATTCTGCCTGTGGTTTTATCAATCAAAACATCACATTCTCTACTATACAGTTTACCAGCAATCAGTGGGAGACCAAGATATCTAACTGGAAGAGTCCCCTCCTTGAAACCAGAAATCCTTAAGGCATTGTCTTTAAACTGATGAGCATAGCCCCCAAAAAATACTTCGCATTTTTCAGGGTTTCATTGTAATCTAGAGAGCCTATAAAAGCTATTAAGAATCCCACTCACTCCATTCAAAGCAAAAGCTGATCCCTCAGAAAATATCAAGCGATCATCCTCAAAAGATAAGTGAGTAAGACCTAACTTTTTACATTGAGGATGAAAAGGAATCTGCCCTGACACGGCTTCCCTATTAAGCAAACCTGTAAGTGGTTCCATTGCGATTGTAAAAAGGTAAGGGGATAGAGGATCCCCCTGCCTAACTCCCTTGGCAGCCTTAAAGAACCCAAACAAGCTACCGTGAATTGAAATGCTAAAGAAAGCAGAGCTAAGACAGACTTCAATCCATTTCAGAAATGTATTAGGGAATCCCATTTTAGTCATAACACAATGCAGGTAATCCCAATGATTACAGTCAAAAGCTTTCTTCAAATCCACTTTCACAGCACACCTGGATGAAATATTCTTTCTATTATAGTTATGGACAATCTCCCGAGCCATCAATATATTTTTAGTGATGCTACGCCCTTGAATGAAGGCTGACTTGTTTCTGCTGATGACAGAGGGAAGAACAAGCTTTAACCAATTTGCTAAGACCTTTGCTATTATTTTGTAAATCACGTTGATGCAAGCAATAGGTCTACAAGAGCCTAATTGACATGCATTTGGAAACTTAGGAACCAAGGTTAAAAAAGCCGAATTCATACCATTTGGGAGATTAAAATCTGAGAAGAACTGTTGCACTCCTATAATAATGTCAGGACTGATCCTCCCCCAGCATTTTGGTAAAAGCTAGTTGTCCAGCCATCAGGGCCCAGGGCCTTTGTTGGGTTCATCTCAAAGAGGGCATTTGTTATTTCAGAAGCAGAGACAACTACATAGAGAAGTTGATGTTCAGCCTCCGAGAGTCTTCCCAATAATAAAATGTCTATAAGAGTTTCATCCACCAGAACATCCTTATTGACAACTCCAAATAGTTGTTTATAGAAGTTAACAGCTTCATCAGCTATAGCTTGCACATTAGTCAAAACTTCTCCATTATTAGCTATGAGCTTTCTAATATGCTTTCCTGCTGTATGGATTCTAGCATAGTTGTGAAAAAAAAGAGGAATTATAATCCCCCAGAGAAAGCCACTGGATGCGAGACCTCTGCCTGAAGAAAGATTCCTCTGCCTTCCTTAGTTGTAAGTATTCCTTAGTAAGTTCCTTGACTTCGGATAACAATTGTGAACTAGAATCTTAAAGAGCTTGGACCTGTTTCGTCTTCATCTCCACTTCTTTTTTCTTAACTCTCTCAGAAATATCCCAGCACTCCTCCCCGTTGAGCTTTCTCAACTAATTTTTGAGTAAATACAACATTTGTTTGACACCAAAGAGTCCAGATCCAGAAACTGCAGTACTCCAACACTCATCAATGATTGTAGAGAAGGAAGAATGTTGAGTCCACATATAATAAAAACGAAAAGGCTTAGGGAATTTCTTTGTTGGAAGTCTCGGTGTGAGCAAAATGCCACAATGATCCGAGAAATCCGGAGCTAAGAACTCCAAAACACTCTCTGGAAAGCTAGCTAACCAGTCCACATTTACCATTACCATGTCTAATTTCCTTGCAATAGGGTTATCCTGCTAATGATTTGCCCAAGTAAAAAAGAGGTCCAGTTGTTGAATGATCAATGATCTCCATCTGTCTTACCCAGTCTCTGAACTTAGTCATACTAGAGGAGATTGACACTTCATTAGGATTCAAGATCAAATTAAAGTCCCCCCCCCCCCCCCCCCCCCCCCCCAATGATCCAGGGGAAGCCCTGAACTTTCCGTTTGCTTAATCTTTGGTAAGTACGAAGTCTACCTGCTTCCTCATTTGAACCGTACACAGTAGTAAAGAAATATTTATTCTTGTTTGGCAAGGAAACCATAGTATGAATATAATCTTCTTCAGTCGCTAGAACCTTCGGCACCACCTCATCATTCACCCAATCCAAATCCTACCCAGCTTGTGCTTAATGTAATTATCAGCAAACTAATAGCCTATAAATTTTAGTTTTATTTCCTCTATCTTCTTAACCTTCTGTATTCTAGTTTCCAACAAAGCAAACAAACTACTTTATTCACACGTAGATAATGAAGCACCTTTTCGTGGTTCCCGGGGATATTAAAGTCCCTGGCGTTCCATATTAAGACATTCATCTATGAGGAGCTGCCACCTTGACTACGAAGCCCCCTCCCTGCTTGCTTTCTTAACTGGTGGAGGATGCAACTTGACTGTCTTATTTCCACATAACACATCAAAAGCATTCGAATGAAGTACTAGAGTAGTTACCTTTGGTTTGGGCTTCACCCCATTGATAACCTTGTTAAACTCTTGAGATGGTAAGGCCCTCGGTGTTACTAGAGGAGTAGTATCAATCACAACATCTTTGCCTTTATCAACCTTTTCCACTATAGCATCCTGCACCACCAGATCCTTCTCCACCCCAACTGGATTGGAAACCTGAGTTTTCTTCCCTCGCCAGACTTGTTTGGTTTGCACCCCTACTGGTGGTAAAGAGCAGTCATGCCCAAACACCTTGCACTTGTCACAACATCTGGGTAATCCATAGTACTCCACCCCAACAAATATATCCTCCATTCCATCCGGGGTTACACTGACTCTATCTATTCTAGCCTTCTTCGCACTTACTTCAACACAAATCTTCGCTCGTCCCACTCGCTCATTATGCGTAGTCAAGTGATCCATACACAAAGGGTTACCCACCGTACTTGCAATCCTTCTCGCAAAACCAATTCAGTTGGTAATCCTGTAAGAACAACCCATACTGGAACCACCGAGTTGTCAATCTCAAGCGTTTTGATTACCGGAACCCAGCGCCTCAGACACACAATCTTCTCCTTAAAATGCCAAGCATCCCCCCTCAAAAACCCATCGACACACACACACTCATACGGGAATTGGAAAAGCACGAGATGATCTTCATAGACACCTTAACCTCGCCATCGCGCCCCCAAATTCAGTTTGCCCAATATCGAATAGCTGAAATCGGAGGAGTCGCCATAAAGAACTGCCCTACTAAACTGTGTTCCCACTTCTTTGCCCCTTCCTCAATGACCGATTTAGGGATTCGAAGTTAGCCATTCACCATTTTGGTTCAAAGTACTCCAAGCGATTCTCTTCTGCCACATTAAACAATGAAACCTAGGACCTACCACCGCCCACGGCGCCCGGTGAGGCTCCGTCAGCGACGGTGGCCATCGGAGGCGAAGAATCGAGCAGTCAAAGAGAAAGAGAGAGAGAGAGAGAGAGAGAGAGAGAGAGAAAGAAGGAGATAAAGTATTAAAAAATTGGAATCGTATACTTGTGGAATTCATGTCCTTACTCTCCTTTCTTCCTTACTCGTTCTCCGATTTCTCCAAACTATTATTTACAAGAGTAGCCCCTTCTTCTTTATTCATCAATGGCGCCTCATCTTCTTCATCTCCCCTCATCTTCGTATATCTCCTCTAATCCGTCGTCGATTTCTTAATTTTGGATTCTCTTAATTATCTCATTCACCGTCGATTTTCCTGCTTCTCATCATTGAATTCGTCTAAACACGTATAAAACCCGTATAACACGTTTAATGTACGTATTTAATGAATTAAATTGTTAACTTTACTATTATTTATATATGTATTTATTATTAAAAGAATTAAGTTGATATATTTATGGCTATTAACGTAATATTAAACATAACATTAGTTTAGAGCCGAAGTAAAATACTCGTACATATTTTATATGTAACTTTTCCGTACGATATTTTACTAACTATGCTTACGTTAGCAGCAATTAGTAGTTAGTAGAACACAACAACCTTTAGGAGAGGTATGTATATAAAAAAGAAGGTATTTTTGTATTTTACCAAATTCCACACCATCAATTCTCACAAAACTAAATCCTATCTAAACGTAGAATTTTGTTCAATTTACACAAGTCAATTCCTTAGTTTTTATAAACATGGAAATTTAGACAAATTCCCACATCCAAACAACCCCTAAGTCTTCTTGGAAGAAATGATGGTTCGGTTTTTGGAAGAGAAAATTTCCCATGGATAACCCATAAGTTTGAAATTCAACTTAAAATGAATGAGATAGTTTAATGTTAATATGAGAAGTGGTTATATTTGGTGTATCATAGTGATACAATTTTTTTAATATGGTGGTATGGATATATTGTAGTTGTAAGATATTGATACATGTGGTCCAAAATATTTTGCTTGTAAATAATTATTTTTAATAGCCATATCATCTATTTAACAGTTAAAAATCACGTAGGACAAGCTTAACGAAATTGAAAAACGAGTGACTAAGAATAGAACGAGATTTAAAGTTAATGACTAGTGAAAAATGAATTTTTTTCAAGCATGAGAAAATTGACTTATTCCGGGTAATAAATATACAATTTAATACTTTGTTATCGGGTAAATTAATTTGGTTCAAGGAACAAATTCGGTTACCCATTCTTTCAAAAGAGCACTTCTACTATGCTATATAGTATTGGTGCTTTAATGTACAACTTAAAGTTGTACCATAATATTAAATGTATAAGTTTATGTTGTACCATAAAGCAATTTGTAATATTATGTTACGGTACAACTTTACAACTTGAAATTGTACCATCACATAAAAGTACAAGTTCAAGTTGTACCATAAAAGAATTTGTAAAAAAAGTAGAGGTACAATCTGAAGTTGTATCATAACATAAATGTACAATTTTAAGTTGTACCATAAATGCAAATCACTATAGCACCAATACTATATAGGATTGTAAAATTTCACATTTCGAAATTCGATTAGCATTTTCATGTCAAGTATGAATGCAATCTGCAATAAACAAAAAAAAAATCATATTAAAGTAGGCAAAGGTAGTAAATAATTCATTCGAAATTTTGGTACCGTATATTCCCTCCGTATACATGGAAACAAATTATGCGTAAAAGAAGAAAAAGGAAGACACGAATTCCCGGTCAGAAACATATGTCTCTGTGACGAGGCATAAATGCCAAGCAGACGCAGCAATGCCAGATGGCGCGTCTTTATAGCTACCCAACGTCCTCTCTGCTTCACTCTCTCCCTTCCCATGGAGATAAACTTCCCTCCATTGTCCACGTCATCACCACCACCACCATCCTCCCACTCCCTCTCCCTCCCGCCCTATTTATATCTCTGCCAAACCCATTCGCCTCCCTCCTCCCTCCCATAGGCAGTTACCACAAAACTCTCTCTCTCTCCCTTCCCCTGATATTTCCCTTACTCTGTTTTTCTCTCCCCCTGCTCTGTTTCAATACTCTGTTTTTTCATTTCTCCGAAATTCAGAGACATGGTGGTCCTGTCTCGTCCAGCATTAGACCATTTCTCCTCAATCAAGACATGCAAACCCACGGCGGGGCTGTTCGCCGGAATCCCGGTGGTCGATTTCGCCGACCCGAACGCTAAGGCCCTGATTACAAGGGCGTGCCAGGAGTTCGGATTCTTCAAGCTGGTCAACCACGGCATCCCATTGGCGACAATCAACCGGCTCGAGTCCCTCGCCATTGAATTCTTCAGCCTCCCTCAATCCCAGAAAGACGCCGCCGGCCCTCCCGACCCTTTCGGCTACGGCAACAAGAGAATCGGACCCAATGGCGACATCGGCTGGATTGAGTACCTCCTCCTTCACTCCCACAAACCCGCCGCCGGCGCCGGCGCCTTTTTCGACAGCCGTCGGAATTTCCGGTAAAACAGAGCACACACCAATTTTTAAAAATAAATGCAACAATAACTCTCGTTTGTCTGTTTGTGTAACCGTCCGGAAATTGGACTTGGTGACTGAATTGGGACTTGTCTTTTTTTTTTCCCCCGTTTTTGTTGGGTTATAGGACTGCGGTGGAGGAATACGTGGCGGCGGTCAAGGCGATGACGGTGGAAGTGCTGGAAGCGGTAGCGGAGGGGTTGGGTATAGAGCCTAGAAATGCGCTGAGCCGGCTGGTGAAGGGCGAGGACAGCGACTCGTGCCTGCGGTTGAACCACTACCCTCCCTGCCCAGAGGTTCAGCCCCTGAGCGGTCAGAACCTCATCGGGTTCGGGGAGCACACCGACCCGCAGATCATATCTGTCCTGAGATCCAACAACACAACTGGCCTCCAAATCTGTCTTCGGGATGGCACTTGGGTCTCTGTCCCACCTGACCACTCCTCCTTCTTCATCAATGTCGGCGACGCCCTCCAGGTAATTAAACACTAATTCACCCTTCGATCCAACGATATCAACGTACACAACCTCGCGCGCGTGTAATAAAACGCTTATAGTAAAATTTGTGTTACCTTTGACGCTACAGGTGATGACTAACGGAAGATTTAGGAGCGTTAAGCACAGAGTATTGACGGAGCCCACGAAATCGAGGGTGTCGATGATTTACTTTGCGGGGCCCAGGATGAGCGAGAGGATAGCACCACTGGGATCTTTGATGGAAGCAGGGGAGGAGAGCCGGTACGTGGAGTTCACATGGGCCGACTACAAAAAATCGGCTTACAAGTCAAGGCTGGCTGATTACAGGCTCGGCCAGTTCGAGAAGAAGAAAATCGACTGACGAGTGAACCAAAATTCTATTTGGTTTTGGCCTCGGTTATTATTATTATATAAATTATTAATGTGTAGCCACCACCACCACCATAGCTGACTCGGACTTTGCTATGTATAGAAAACGAATAGGTTGCCTTCTTATTTCCGCCCTTTAGTTTCCTTTACCGGCTGTTCCCTTCTCCAGTTGTTTTTTCTTTCCTTCCCCTTTTTATTCAGCTAGCTCGTACTCGTAGTTAGGAGGATCATGTAGTAGTTCAGAATATTGTACTTGTTCTTGTGGGACGAAATTGAGAGGGGGAAAAAAGAACCCTTGTAAAAGATCCTGGCGTTTTACTTTTTATCAAATGCAACTGAATGTGTTCATATGTGAATTTCTGACGTGTAAAATGTATACCAGCAGCTGGTGTTTGTGTTTGTTTTTCCGTTGAATGAATTGACTTTTGATAGAGAAAAGTGTCACGAGAAAAGTGTAGAAAAATAATATCAAGAATATTAGTCTAGTTACGCGGAAGAGAAAAATTCTGAAAGTGATAATGCATTACGAGATTGAGAGACTCTTATAAAAAAAACTGAGACACTGCTTCAATATTTCATATGAGGATTTTTTTTTATTAGAAGATAGACTGCCATATCAATTAAAGTTGTATAACGGAAAAATTAATTTAAGGAGGTCAATTGAGAGAAAAAGAACGACATGATATCTAGCCATCCGATTGAAAGATACAAACAAATGATCATAATTATAAATTTATCTCGAAGCTTTTACAAGAGCTTTCACTTTAATTTCAACTGCAAAGGAAAGGGAGGATCTGGAAAAAACTACTGACTTGTGAAAAAGGAGGAGGAGGAGGAGGAAGTACATATACTATTGATTTTGCCAGTTGGGGGATTCCCCACTTTCCCACTCAAGAGGGTGAAGGAAAGGAAGTGAGGGAACTCAACTCATATTCTAGTCAGATTTCCAATTATTACTACTTTTCTTCATTATTGTGGGGAAATATAGCCATCACATCATACCATTTAATAACAAAAGGTTTGTGTCTGCGATGGGTAATAGCAGCCAATTTTGCTTTTATATCATATCATCCACATACTTGTCAACCAGAACCCAAACTCTTTTTTTTTTTTTTTTTTGGTAAGAACTCCGACCCAAACTTTAACTACATAATTATAGTTTTTTTGGTAGAAACTAGAAACAATAGCGCTTAACCGGCACCCCAATTTTTTTGCATTAATAAAATGAGGTGACTCAACTCCAATCTAATCAAAGAATAATCAGTAACGTAGGGAGTGACGAGGTAAAGAGAAAATGTGTTCTCCCGTAGGTATAGAATGGCGTAAGTAGCTAGGTAGTCGGCTTCATAAGTTTAGTTCGAAATAAAAGACGAATAGTTTCAACATATATAGTATGAGCGCTAACGTGGGTCACACACATTTTAACTATCTTAATTTTGATATCGTATCGTACTATGAATGAATCATTAGAAACCATCACTGGTTAATTATATTGGTGACAATCTAGACGGTGGAACCATAGAGTTTTTTTTACCCTTCAATTATTATAAAATGTACTAAATAAATATAACCCCAATTTAGTTAGCTCCTCTCCACCACTGATTTGCTACATAGAGTTTTCTTTTCCATTAGTGCCTATATCTACCTATATTATAGTGGGCAAAAAATTAACAGTATGGCACAGCTACACAGTTGTGAGGGTAGTAAAAAAAAGTTATCATAAAATTTCTGATAGAATTTTAGCTGTAAAAGATGGGTACTTGATACATGACAGTGTTAGAACTAGGGTTGCAAATGAGCCGAGTCGAGTTTTTGCTTAACTTGAGCTCGGCTTGTTTGTAAATTTTTCAGCTCGAACTCGAATTCGAATTTTGATAATCCATTTCGAGCTCGGCTCGATTAAAAATAATCCAACTCGAACTCGACTCGATAGAGCTCGGTAAATGCTTATTTACACAGCTTGTCAAGCTGAGTACAAGTTCTGCTCAAGATGAGCTCGATCTGAAAGCATTCTTGCTGAAAAATGTGTACACATAAGAACTTAAATGATAAAAAGAACACTAGAAACTACAAATAACAGCTAATTTCCATACACATCCGTATTAACAAGATAATGTTCATGTTCAGAAGAGTAATTAATCCTTTTACAAGCTCTAAACAAGCCAGCTCGTGAGCTTAGCTCAAAAAGTCACCGAGTCAAGCTAGCTAGCTCACGAGCTTATCAAGCTGAGCATGGTCTAGCTCAAGCTTGACTTGTTTACTAACGAGTCGGCTCGCGAGCCGATTTGTTAACTAACGATCCGAGTGTCGAACGAGTTTTTTTCCGATTCGAACGCCGAGTTGCTCGCGAGCGATTTGGCTCATTTGCAGCCCTAGTTAGAACATACTCTAAACTTTTATATGAGTTTTTACCATTTGATCCATTTCTCATTTGTTTTTTTTAATGTTGTCATAATTGAATACGTGTAGCGAGCCTTTCACATTTTACTAGTTAATCGATATCAAATATACAATAATGACATAACAAATCATAATAGTATAATTCAATCTTAGAGTTTTGAAAGAAAATACAAAAAAAAAATGTTACTTAAAATGCCAGCAGAAAAATATGATTACTTTGGTAAGTTTCATAATATGATCAGTAATAGGCTTCTAGCATAGTTGGTAACCAACTCATTACCCTTTATCTTATTACCTCTACAAGTTAGAAATGAACTTCCCTAGTGGCGGATCTAGGGCTGGGCCAACCCAGCTCCGGCCCAGCCCTCCTCCGGATTCAGAGTTAGTTTAGTGCTTATAAATTTTTTTGATTTATGTATTTGGTCCCGTGCTAGTTAAAATCCTGTCTAGTTTTATTTGATAATAGAATTTTGTGTAACTAGGACAATGGTTCATATGAATATATCCAAACCATCACTCTAAATTTATACTAAATTTTCTATATTCCAAATGATTTTATTTGAAAAAGACATGAAAACCTAAAAGTGTAAAGTTTCATTAAAATAAAATAAAAACTCTAAAATAAAGCACACCCTAAAATTCCCAATCCCCCCAAAACAAAACAAGAACGAGGAGACAGGCAGACCCAAAATGGATTTCTTCGCCAGTTCGTCGAGCTGGTTTTCTTTTCATTCTTTTGATTAAGAAAATATTTACAAATGTGCTGAGTTATCATTTAAATTTCCTCAATTGAGTGGGGCACTAGATTCTAACCGTTCTTTCTGGTGTTTTGATGAAGAAAATATTTACAAACTTGCTCAAGAGTTTAGCCTCAAATTTTGAAGGCTATGAGATGCATTCTTTGGAAAATGCACTACTTATGTGAGGAAGATGAAGTTTCTTCTCTTGCAAAATTATTAGAGAAGCTGGAGGAAACCGGGATGGACACACAATACAAATTGATTTGTTGGTTGATTTGTCTAGTGTTGACCTAGCCGTTTCAACAACTACCATGGATAGAATATTTTCAGCAATGGAACATGAACATTGATTTGTTCAACAAAATGAGCGATGAATTTCTCGTTGATTATTTAGCTATTTTCTTTGAAAAAAGTATATTATCAGTATGGATGGAGATTATATTATTGATGAATTTGTTAAATTAAAAGATCTTCTTGTACAATTGGCATTGTAATGAAAACTATATTATTATATATTTTTGTTTATGGTATCTAATATTTTATTCAAATGCTGCCTAGTACTCTCTTATGTCCTGGATCCGCCGTTGAACTTCCCATTTCGTTATTACACAAAACCTACCATGTAATTTTCCAATATTTGGTAACAGAAAAATGATAATACCACTTAGACTGCACAATACTTCCCGCCTCTAATCCGTATAGTATACGATTTGGCAGATTATAATCAGCATCACGAGCGTCCCAGAAGTGAGGGCAGGAGAAAGAGGACCCTCCCAAAGCTGTACGACATATCACATCTCTCTCAGTCAAGCTCAGCTCAGGCATGCAGCAACAGAGTCGGCCTGGCCCTCTCCGACGAGACGACGGAGAGAGTTAATTGGGTAGCAGGGAAAGTTTGGTGCAACCAGAAATGGGACAGTTTCAGGTATCTTGTTTGGGCAAGAAAGAGCAAGTGTCGATGTGGGGGGAAATTTCTAGATCTGAGGTAAGTAGCGAGCGTCAGCTTGATGATTACTTTGGTAGGAAGGACGACAGGGAACATCCATAATCTGATCAAGTTATTAAGATCAAACTGTTCTTGACATAATACTAAAGCTTTTGATAGTTTGGAAATCTTGTGTTCGAATCTCGATAATCACTAATTTGTTTAAAACGCAGTACGTATCCAAACCTATGTAAATTTTTTGAGCTTGTAGAGTTGGCGTTGCTAATTATTATCGTGGAATGTGGATGGCTTTTCAATTATATATGTAGATTTTGTTAGCTACTACACCGATCAGTCGTCGTCATCGAACGAGTGGGTTGGGACAAACTTTTTACGTACCGACATAATTGAAAAGCTTTCGCGCCTACGACGCAGATGTAGCAGAGCCCTTAGCTACTACGTACATTCATCTTCAGAGTCCCAGAACAAGAGTGCGTGCTATCCCCTTTTCAACGCATGCAGATTCCTGAGTACGGTTATCTGTATATTATTTTGTGAGCGATGGCTCATAGATAATTGAGTGGCTCTTTTGACTTTCTGCCCTAATTTTTGTGTCTATTCAGTAGGGTGGGTTATACGATTCGTTCCGGTTAAATTGCCTCGAATTAACCCGGTACCGGTCCGGTCTTTTCGAGAATATAAGAATCAAATATTGGATTGGATAAAGTCCGGTCTAGATCCGGTCCGGTCCCAATTCAGTTTTGATTTTAGATTGAGTTTGTGGGGATTTGAGTGGCCTGAGGGGGGATTTGAGTGGCCTAAGGCCTGAAAGGGCGATGAGGTTAAATTTTAGGTGTTGAGCTCTCTTATCCGATCTTTAAACGGTTTTCGGTCCGGTCCCAAACGGTTTTTACCTCAAATCTAGGCCCGAAGATTGGATTCGATTGTTTGCTATCCGGTCCCGGTCCGATCTCGGTCCAAATTATATGATCCGATTTTGGGTAAAACCAAAAAGTCTGGATCAAATAGCCAGCCCTATTCAAACTTTGGGAGCCCTTAATTGCTTGGAAGGAAACCCCTTTTATAACTTCATCTAAGAACAATTTTTTTTATGAAGAGTGAACTTTAGGACTTTGCTACGGTGACATGCATGTCACCGCAACTTGCACTTTTAGGTCGACCTTATATAAGATTAGGTCGACCTAATCTGCACTTTTAGGTCGACCTTATATAGGATTAAGTTAACCTAATATGTCATTTCGGTTTTGTGAGGTTCAACGACGCGGTTGACCTTTTATAGCAAATGTTCGACATCTTTGGGAAGCAATGTGAGTGGTTCTTTTGCTCATACAAATTACGTTTCAAAC